TTTCAAATGAAAACATTCAGCTCAGAGTCTAAGAAAATCAAAAGGGGACAGGACCAGCCTGATCTGTCTGTCCTTGCTACTTTTGTCTGGGAGCAATCCTTGGATATACAGAATTTGGGAGGCCAAACTAATTTTCGCCATGGACCCTGGACAGAAGGCATGTTCTTTTCCAGAGGAAGGAAGGAAGAGAGCCCCAGTGATTCAAGGGCAGATGAGAGGTGACCACCAGAGGCCATCAAGAGCTGGCAGGTTTTTTTCTGGGAGATACCCTTGCATATAGGAAATATTTTAGGGAGGATACCAGTTTTGACAATGGGCATCTGAAAAGATGGATGGTTCTTTCCCATAGCAAGGAAAGCACATAGCCCCAGTGCTCCAGGAGCTGATGAGAGGCAGCCCTTTGGGAGGCCAAGCCAGCCAGACCTGTTCCACGTTCCCTCGCTTCCATGGGGCCCCACAGTGTCCCAATGGTCCCTTGCTTCCAGGAGGCCCTGAGGTGTCACAATGCCCCCTTGGTGACATGAGGCCCTGAAGGGTCAGAATGGTCTCCATGGTTCCATCAGGCCCCACAGAGCCATAATGGTCTCTGGGTCCATGAAGCCCCGCGGTGTCACCATGGCCCCTTGGTTCCATGGGCTCCAGTGGTGCCACAATGATCCCCTTGGTTCCATGAGGTGCCCACAGTGTCACAGTGATCTCCATGGGAAGGGAAGAACCGAGCCCCAGTGTGGCAGGGGCAGCCACCAGAGGCCAAGGCCAGCCAGGCTTGATGGTACTGGCAGATTTTGGTTGGGAGCAACCGTTGGATATAGGGAATTTTAGAGGTGGAATCCCACTTTCAGACATGGACACCCGGAGTTGAATGATGTTTTTTTTTTCCAAAGGAAGGAACGCACAGAACACCGGTGTTTGAGGGGCAGATGAAAGGCTGCTGTCAGAGGTCTAGGCCAGCCAGACCTCTTTGCCCTGGTAGCTTTTGTCTGAAAGCAACCCTTGGATATAGGGAAATTGGGAGGTGGAACCACAATTTTGGCCATTTCTGTGTAGATAAGAAGGAGAGTTCTTTTCCATAGGAAAGAAAGCACAGAGACCGTGTGTTTGAAAGGCAGAAGAAGAAAGAGGTGGCTCCTGGAAGGCTCAGCCAACCAGACCGTTTCTTCCTGGCATGTTTTGTAATGGAGGAATTTTTGGATACATGGAATTTGGGAGGAGGAATCTCAATTTTGACCACGGTCACCTTGAGAAGGACAACTATTTACATTGGAAGGAAATCACCAAGCCCCAGTGTTTCAAAAGCAGATGAGATGCATCTCTCAAGAGGCCAAGGGCAGCCAGACCTGTCTGTCCTGGCAGCTTTCACTTGGGAGCATTCCTTGGATGTACGGAGTTTTGGAGGAGGAATCCCAATTTTGGCCATGGAACCCTGGAGGAGAAGGACAGTTCTCTCCCATAGGAAGAAAAGCCCAGAGCCCCAGGGCTTCAGGGGCAGATGAGAAGCAGCCCTCAACATGCCAAGGTGGTCAGGTGGTCCCCAGGAGGCCCAGCCAGCCAGACCTGTTCCATGTTCCCTTGGTTCCGTGGGACCCCACAGTGTCACAATGGTCTCCTTGGTTCCATCAGGCCCTGGAGTGTCACAATGTTCCCCTTGCTTCTGCAGTGTCACAATGGCCCCGTGCTTCCATGAGGCCTTGCAGTGTCACAATGGCTTTGTGGTTCCACAGAGCCCTGATGTGTCACAATGGCCCCTGGGCTCCGTGTGCCCTCGCTGTGTCACAACGGCTCCTCTGTGACACTGCGGCTGCACAAGGTCACCATGGACCCTTGGTTCCTTGGGGTCTCTGAGTTTCACATTGGTCTCCTTGATTCCATGAGGCAGCACAGTGTCACAATGGCCCCTTGGTTCCATGAGGTTCCGTAGTGTCACCGTGGTGTCCTTGGACCTGCATTGTCACAACTGACCTGTGGTAATCACATATCCTCTGAGCAGAGAGAGAGATCTCCCAGGATTTTCCTGGGAAGCTGTGAGAAGCTGTGAGAAAGCTCAGAGAAAAGAACGAGAAACAATTTTTATCTTCACTTGCTGCACCTGTTGTTGTGCACATGTGGAATGTATTATGGAGATTTGTTTATCAAAGGGTGATTTCTAAATTGGCCAATGGTGATGGTGTTTGGATTTCAATTAACCAGTCTGGTCTGTCTGTATCGGACTGTCTGCAAGAGCGATGAGTGTTTCTTAGCAGTATAGTATAGGATAATGTAATAAAGTGATTGATCAGCCTTCTGGAATCATGGAGTCAGTGCTAATTATTACAGGCTGGGGACGCCCTGCTACGATAGTTATCTAAGTCAATCTTCCCTTACCTCTGAATGCTGAACAGAATAGGCTTAACAGGCATAGCAGGAACACCAACCACTGTAGACCCAAAGAGCTGGCTGAGGAGTTGGGAGAAAACTTCCCCTGGTGTCATTTCCTCACAGTAGGTACCATTATTAAAGTAATTCCAAACACATACAGTTAGTGTGTGGTAGCCTCGAATCCATGTGCCCACCATCCAGTGGAAATTAAAAATCCATAAATTCCTCACCATATTAACCCATAAAACAAATTGGATAGCAGCCACATTAGCCACAGTTATAGGATGGGAAAAATGTAGCCACAACAACGTGCCACCCAAACCAGGGAAGGCTAGACCCCTTGGTGACACCTAAAAAGGTTTCTATACCCAGTACACAAAAAAAAAAAAAAAAAATTATGTTACTCAAGAATTGTTATTTTCATTTCACCATTTTCCTCTTTATGCCCTTGGGCTGCACATTGGGCGCCAAAATTGGTCTTGGTTTGCAAGACAGGTGTCTGCTAGGGAAGGTGGAAAAAAGCTTCCTGTGGAGGTGCCTCCAGCAGGACTCTTGGAAAGCAGCAAGCTGGGCTGGCAGGATGTCTCGGCAGGCAGGGAGTGAGGGGCTCCAAGCAGGGCAGGGAGAGCCCAGCTCAGGATCCTGGACACCAGAGCAGACAGGGATAGGTCTCTCTTTTAGTGGGGCAGGTGTAAATAAGGTCCCAGTTTAGTGGCTGTTCTCACGAGCAGAGGCTCACCCCAGGACAGAAGAAACAGCTCTGGCCCGGGCTCTGGCAGCAGCAGTGGAAACTCCCATCTCCAAGAGCAGCAGCTCCTCCCAAAATAAGGGATCAGCCGATAAACATCAGCCAATGATAAGGAACAAACAGAAAGGAAAAACCCAACCCCCAACACTGGTTTACAATTCCTAATGCTAAGGGAGAATTGTATAAAGTTTTAATTCCACCTTTATAATTGTTTACATACGAGCTCTTGAAATGTCAGGGGTAGGGATTGGAACCTGCTGCTCCAAGGCTCCTCTCACAAAAAGAGGCTTAGAAAGGCTGGCGGTCCTTGGAGATATTTGGGGATCTATAGGGGCTATTGGGGGTCCTTTCTGTGCCTCCTGACCTGACAGGAGCTTCTCTAATAAACTTTGCCTAAAGCTCCCAGTCTGCCCATGACAGGAGCCCCTGTGAGTGCCTGTGACATCCTGGCTCTTTGGCAGCCTGGGGACACTTAGAAAGTCCCCATGGAACCCCTCTGAGGGCCTGTCAAAAAATCTGATTATTAGTAGGCAAACTGTTGGCTGTTAACCGAAAGGTTGGTGGTTCGAGCCCACCGAGGGATGCCATTTATGTCAGAATCTGTGGTATTTAAATGATCCCAAAATTGTAGAAAGTCCCTGTCTTTGAGCCCCGCTGCCAAAGAAGAAGTCATAATTCATCTGTGCTGGTTTTCAAGGTTGTTTATTCTTGCTTATCTATAACATGTTCTGTCTGACCTGCAGTAGGCCTTTCTTGCGGGGCAGCGTGCAGGGCTCTGCCCCTCAGTGGGAAGTTACAAACATTATATACCAGAACCTACCTGTGCTATATTTACAATAATGTGCCAATACCTACCACCTGTGTTGAACAGTGTGTCCCCAGCCTAAACCAACAGAAAAATGCCAACACTGCAGTGAAACATGGAAGACATGAAGAAGACGAAAAAGGACAGGACACACACGATTTCCTCCATCTTGCCTCCTTTGAACCCCTTACCTAGAATCCTAAAATTCTACTTTTGCACCCGTGTCACACTAATTATTACTCATATCAAACATTCAGAGCTTGTAATTCATCCTGTAAGATTGAAAACTCTTTTCCATGGACAGAGATCACAGCCAGTGTCTCTCGGGGCTCTGTCCAGGGGGGTTCCTGACCCCTGCCAGGGTCCCAGACCTGCCAGGGCAGCCAGAGGGATGCCCTGGATTACCACAGCAAACCTCATCAGGACCCATTGCTATGGTCAGTTTCCATGGCAACCATCCCCAGCCCCTGTTGCTATGGTCAGTCCCTGGGCAGCTCCATGGACACCCCATGCCAGGGGTGGTTGCCATGGACACCAGCTCAGGCCTGCAGCCAGAGCCCGTTTCCATGGCAACCATTGGCACTCCCATTCTCAGGATCATGGGATCCCAGAACCACAGAAGTGGCTGAGCTGGGAGGGACCCATCAGGATCCTCGAGTCCCGCTGCTGGCCCTGCACAGGACACCCCAACACTGCCAGCCTGGGCCTGGCAGCGCTGTCCAAACGCTGCAGGAGCTCAGAGAGCCCTGGAGCTGTGACCCTTCCCTGGGGAGCCTGGGCAGTGCCCCAGCAGCCTCTGGGCAAAAACCTTTCCCCGAGATCCAACCTCAGCCTGCCCCGACTCAGCTGCAGCCGCTCCCTGCACTCCTGTCCCTGGGCACCAGAGTGAAGAGGTTCCCTCAGCCCCAGCCAGGGACCCGCTCCCAAGGCTGCTGCCATGGCCACCAGGGCTGGCACCAGCTGGGATGCTCGGTATCCACAGGCCGGGATTCAGGAATGGGATTCCCCAATTTCCTGCTCCTGCTAAAACCCCGCTGGCTCTCGTTGCCCTCCCACCTTCCACTGAAGGAAAAAAATGGAAAGATCCCAGGCTGGGATAAGAACAATTTACTGGGAACAGCAACGAGATAAGGAACAAACAGGAATAGAAAAAATATTGACAACAGAAGGGATAAGAAAAACTATTTACAGGGGAAATTACATCACCATCAATTGTACCTTCCTGGCCACGCATCTCCTCCTGCCTGGAAAGGACACCCTTCTCAGAGAGAGAGAGAGTCCCTTTCCTGCCCCTGGCAATGACCTGAGGTGGGAGTGAATGTAGTGACAGGGCCATGGCCAGACCCTCATGTTCTTCAATCCCACATAAGGTCATTGGCAGGGGCAGGAGAAGGTACAGGTGTCTTCCCAGCATGGATCACAGGTAACAGGGATCACCAGGGCTCTTCCCAATGTGGGTTCTTCAATGGGGGGTTAAGCTGGAGCGGTGCACGAAGCTCCTCCTGCAGTTGGGGCACTCACAGGGCTTCCCTCACCGGTGGCTCCGTTGGTGTTGGGTCAAGTGAGAGCTCCGGGTGAAGCTCTTCCCACACTCCCCACACTCGTAGGGCCTCTCCCCAGTGTGGATGCGCCGGTGCCTGATGAGGTGCGAGTTTTGCTTGAAGCCTTTCCCGCAGTCAGAGCAGAGGAAGGGCCTCTCCTCGGTGTGGACCCGCTCATGCAGGAGGAGACTGTAGCTGGTGTGAAACCCCTTCCCACACTGGGGACACTCGTAGGGCCTCTCCCCGGTGTGGATGTGCCGGTGCCTTACAAGGGTGGAGTTTTGCTTGAAGCCCTTCCCACAGTCAGAGCAGAGGAAGAGCCTCTCCTCGGTGTGGACCCGCTCATGCAGGAGGAGATTGTAGCTGGAGTGAAACCCCTTCCCACATGTGGGGCACATGTAGGGCCTCTCCCCAGTGTGGATGCGCCGGTGGGTGACAAGAGTGAAGTTGCGCTTGAAGACCTTGCCACAGTCGGGGCAGAGGAAGGGCCTCTCCTCAGTGTGGATGCGCCGGTGCCTGACAAGGTGGGAGTTTTGCTTGAAGCCCTTCCCGCAGTCAGGGCAGTCGTAGGGCCTCTCTCCTGTGTGGATGCGTTGGTGGATGATGAGGTGGGAGCTGCAGCTGAAGCCCTTCCCACACTCCCCACACTCGTAGGGCCATTCCCCAGTGTGGATCATCTGGTGTCGTTTCAGACTGTTGCTCTGCCTGAAGCTCTTCCCACACTCCAAGCACTTGTGGGGCTTCTCCCCATCGTGAAGCTTCTCAGGGACCACCAGGTCTGAGCTCTGGCGGAAGCTCTGCCCACCTTCCTGACCCAGAGTGGGCCTTTCCTCCTCAGAGCACCCTGGGCTGGGTTTCCAGCCCCTCCTTGTGTGGGATCTCCGGGGGTTTTCCTCCCTGTTGGATTCTTGCGCTGTGTAGTTGCTCAAATCGGCCTCTTCCATGAGGTTGTGCTGCAGGGATTTGTCCTTCCTGGTTTCCATCATCAGCTCCTGCTCTGGGGGAGGAAGGACAAGGAGAGGATGGGATTTGCCTCCGTGCCAGAGGGAAGGGCAAGGAGATACCCCCAGTGCATCCCTGTCAGCAGAGCGTCGGCAGCGGGGCTGTCCTGCAGCCAGGGGCCAGGCTGGGCCAGGAGATGGAGCAGGAGAGAGGAGGAAAGGGGCACTGACTTCCTCCTCACCTGCCTGGGTGTCCCAGGGCGCCTTCCTCTTCCTCACATCCTCCTCCTCCATTTCGTGAAGGTTTTGGTATGGGAAATTCTGTTTTGGGAGGAAAACAAGGGATGAGCACAGTGAGTTTTGCACTGGTTTCAAAGCAAACCAGGGGGTGAATTTATGCCAGAATTACAATTGAAAAAGAAAATTAATATCAAGGCAATGATAGAGAAATCCTGGCTTAAACTCACAGAGTCAGGATATAACCTGACACCCCGTTGCTCAGGGTGGTGGTAGCAGTTCTGATGAAATGGTGGCTGCAGTCCGGCTGGAGTGATGAACGTGATTCTGTCAAAGCAGTGATCCTGTAGAAGGGTCTGGTCTTCCTCTGCAGGTCCAGTGGTGGTTATGGAGCTCTTGTCCTCTGGGAATGCAGTAGGCAAGGTGGTCGTGGTGTTGCAAGGGTGAGATTATATCCAGGCAGGAATGCTTGGTTCCTCCCCCTGGGCGGAGCATCCCACAATGGGATGATGTAATTTTATCAGCCCTGCAGTGACACTCAATGGCCCATTAACAGAAGATGGCCCCTGGAGGGCGTTATCAGGGCTGAGCCATGGAAGAGATAAAGAACACTGCCCCACCTGTTGATAACAGTTTATGGAGATGGTGACTGAAAACACTTTTGGTTACATCTGACATTGTAACCTGAAACAGTGAGGCAATCCCTGCTCGGGGTGGGGGGTGAACACCACCCCCCTTACCCAAACTGGCTCAGGTGTAAAACCCCCACCCTGGGAAGGCCACGCACACAGGGACATTGTCACCCTTGCCCCCCCCAGGTGAGATCTCTTTCCCCGTCACTCCCTTGCTCTCCCCCCTTTTCTCTTTCTTTCCATCTCTCTCTACCTCACATTTATTGTTCAATAAAATCCACTTTGGATTTGGTCTCCTTAGCACCTTCATTGGGGCAGAGGCATCTCTCTAACAATGTTATTAACCAGACTGAGACATTATTTTGGCACAGTGAGTTCAGGGCACTGCTGTCTGACCCCAAGTGCCTTTGACAACAGCCTGGTTCTCTCCTCTGAGCAGGTTCTGCCTCTTTCTGGAGGAACTCTTGGAAACTTGGATGCAGCTTCCTCTGAGTGACTTTTGGAACAACTTATGAGGCAAATGGCTGTTTTGAGTGGCCAGTGTAAAGAACATATTTTCTTGTCCTTCCTTGAAAAGTTTGTTAAAATCACTGGAGGAAAGGGACCAAATGATACCAGCGAGACTGACAAGGTTCGTTCACCCCAAGGTAAGGAACACAAGGCTGCTAAAAGTCCTACAAGAAGCCAAGCTCAAGTAGCTAAATTGCTGAATAACTCCCGAATTCACAGCTTTTGAGGGCCTTGCCAAATGTGAGAATAATTTTACCTTGCTACCTGTTACATTTTGACAGCTTCACAGAGCTTTCCCTTCCTTTTAATAATCTGTATTGGGCTAAATGTCCACTTTTCTTTTATTGGAACCTCCCAGCAGCTGAGCTGGAGTTGTACTGGAACTGGGGAAATTTGAATTTGCCACAGAATTACTTCTATTGTCAGTTTATTAATGTTTGGTATTTGTGTTTTAATCACAAGTGGCTTGTGTGAAGAGCAAATATTCCTTAAGGCATTTTCTGTAGGGTTAAGTTTGATTTCTGGCAAGTTTGTTTCATCTGGTCCCCAGGGGATGCTTGAGGGGTCTCTGTGCCTCTCGCCCTGGGGGATGCTTGAGAGGGGCTTGGATGGGTTGTCCCTTTCCTGGTCACCCCAGGCCATTCCTGAGGAGGTGTCTCTCTCCCGGTCACCCCAAGCCATTCCCCAGGGGGTCTCCGTCGTTCTCACCCCTGTGCCAGGGGAGTGCTCCAGGGAGTCTCTCTCCCTCTCAGCCCAGGGGGTGCTCAGGGGTTGAAACAGGGTATTTTACAGTATAAATTTAACAGGGTAGAAATCCATTTGGATTTAGGTGAAATGTGCTGATTTGAAGAGATAGTAGCTTGCTAGCATAGGCAAAATATGCTGTTTCGTCTGCTAGCTCTGCTGCAGAAACGCGGATGGAACATTGATCCCCACAAATCCTGTAAGGAGTTGTAGAGACGGTGTGTTTATTGCAGCACTGGACACATGTGGGGATCGTTCCCCTTCAAAGGACATGTGCACTCCTGTGTAAGAGACCGTCCCAAGTTCTCCTCATTCTTGCCTCACGTTTGCCGCAATGGCAGACACTGAGATCCTGGAGACTCTGATTGGAGTTCTGGCTTGGAGAGGTGGATGATTATTTTTGCAGGTGTGTTTGCTGTACCACCACAGACCACTGCTTCGAGCAGGGCCTGGCAAGGACCTGGCAAGGAGTGGCTTGTTCTACGTGTTTACACCTGCTTCATGATACCTGCTCAACCCAGGGATTTTCCCACCTGATGAACTTTGGGGTAACTCTGGTGATCTCCCACAGAAGACCCCTCATCTGCCTCATGACCACTGTGACGGACGGAGATTGAAGCCCCTCCCAAGGACTGAGACTGAGACCCCCACCACAGGGAGGAGGGCTGGCCTGATCAATGCCAGATGTTTCCCAGGTGTGGTCGATGGACCATGAAAACAATGGCTCTTGCTCACAGCTGATAACATGACCTGTTCCTCCTTGGTGGCTTCAATGGACTTACTCTTCATTCTACCTGTTCCCCCTCAATGATTTCAATTAGCTTTCATTGTCTTTTGC